CGGTGGAAAGTCACATGCGGGCCTGTATATTGGCAGCGGAGAAAAAGTGTCAGCACATGGGCGGATCCCATGATCGCCTTCTGGACTCTTGAAAGTCATCACCGTCAATTACAATCATCTATGACTAATTTTTCGCCACTACCCAACCATCTGCAGGGGCTCCAACTAGGACTGCAATGCAAGTCGTCTGTGTTGCATTTCGGTCGGTAGACACCCAGACGAGTTTGATGAGGGGACGAGTTTCCGTAGCTCCATGCAGTAAGCGAAGACTAAATGATCCAGGTAGTCAGCTCGTCAAGCTTCAAGAAACTTACACAAGCGAACATAATTAAAGGTATGCTCTCCAACAAAAAGGATCGACGGATATTATGATGGTTAAGAAGTGTTCATGTCCCTAATTTCCTCATGATAAACAGTCTATCTTGAAAGGCAGGAAGTTGTCTCTGTTGCGTTTGGATCGGTAGACACTCAGACTGCAGCACGATGACATGAATTTGTGTTGCTCTATGCAGTAATCAAGGACTAAATGCCCCTATTAGACAGCGCGTCAAGCTTCTATGGTTAAGAAAATTACACAAACGAACTTAATTAAAGGCATTTTCCCTAACAAACAGAATTGACAGAAATCACGGTCGTTAAGGACAGTTCATTCCATGAAATAAGTCACAGCCAACCAGTGGCTGCCTTAATACAAATGACAAACGGACTGGGTGACGAAATGAACACCGGCGCCGCAGCTACAGACACGGTCAATGAGGACGTCGAAGACAAGACACCAGACACACGGAGTAGCTCGCGGGAAAAAATAGTGACATCTCGCGAGAATCAGGAGCCAGAATACTCACGTTCGGAAGATGGGTACACGAGACAACTATCCGAAACGTCAGTTACCAAATAAACCCCACCCGGTGGACACCCTTTCTCCGTCTGAATTACGACCAGGGAATCGATTTTTCACTACTATTAGAGCTCATTGCTTTAATTTCTTATGTTAAACAGTCTAGAAGAAGAAACGACCACTGGAACAAGAGTTTTATTGTCCTGACATTTCAGATTCCGTCGGGAATCCTTAATCATGCGCACGCACAGACTGCACGGCATTTATAGTTCTCAGCGGTCACCCGCATGCGTACTATAATTGTCAGTTCCTGTAGCCACCGCTTGAGGTCTTAATTGGTGCGGTGATGACTGAAATCCTCGCAAGAGGTGACAGCCGCGTGAGCCGAGAGCTGCTCGAGTCATGGTTCTCTGGCCCCCAGTCCACCGACAAGCGCAACGATTTGC